CTGCAGGTCTGGCTGAGGTGCCCTGTAAACCACAAGGCCATCACAGCAGCTGGCTCTCCCCCGGGGAAGGAAGGGAGGTCTCTGCGGACCTGCAGCAGGAAATGGGACCATCTACCAGGAGGTCTGGCTGATGCTGTCCTGACTCCAGGTTGGGCAGGAAGGTGGGAGGCCCAAGGTTCAGTGGGCCTGGCCTTCCAGCCATTCCTCTGCCCTTCCCAGCCTCCCCGACGTCTGGGTCTTCTCCCCAAAGTCACACGGGGGGGGGGACGGTGCCGGGAAGAGTGAGGGACAGAGCTGGGAGCCAGGCTCAGGAGGCAGCCAGCATCTGGCTCTCCATCCCGTCGAGACTCTAGGCTTGCTTCGGCGGGTGCTGGGACCCTTGGGTGCATGGCAGGTGCGGCCTCCTGGCAGGCCTCACGTCTTCCTACGACTCCAGAGAAACAGTTTCGTCAGGGGCCTTCCCAGACTGAATCTCGGAGCCGGGGCCGTGCCAATAAGCGTTGCCGGTGTTAAGCAGAGAGTGGCTGTGGAACAGCCCAGGACAGGCTCAGCGCCATGGTGGGTTTGGTGGGGACAGGTATGGAGGCCTCCCTCCGAGGAAGGGCAGCCCGCCGGGCCCTCCACCCCATCTGCTCTTACCACAGTCACTCTCGGCTTCCCCAGGGCCGGGGGCAGTGCAGGGTCAGGATGTTCCAATGCTGGTTTCCCCAAATCTCTCACCCCGTTTTCTTCCCCTGGTACAGTTGGCTCAGGCTGCAGGAGGGCAGACCAAGGGGCCCTGCCGCCATCACTCCAAGCCTGGAGAAGCGTCGAGGGGCCCACACACCATCATCCACCTGGTAGGGGCCCAACCCCCCCCACACACACACTGGAGACCTGGTAGTGCGGCCTCATTTTGAACCCAAGGTACCTCTGAAGGAAGCTCTGTCCCTCCAGGCTGAGCACCAGGTGGCTGAGGATGGTACCTCTCTGTGTCCCCACCTCTGTCCTCACCCACCCACTCTGCCCCCAGCTGCAGAAAATCAGACACACACGCCCCACAGCCCATCCCCCTGTTCTCCAAGCCCCCGAGACTTTGCACACACTGTTCTCTCTGCCTCAAGGTCCTTCCCTTGGCTCTGCTGGGGTAATTTCTACAGATCCCTCCAGACCAGCCAGTATGGTGACCCTGAACCTGCATGGCAAGCACAGTCCTCTGCTACTGGGTTTCTTCCCCTCTGTGACCACCACTCCTCTGCCCCCTGAGGCTGTGAGCTGGGGTGGGCAGCTTTCCTACTGCTCCCCCCAGCCACCGGCCAGCTAGCACACAGCAGCCCACTGCACTCATGAGGACCCTTCTTCTGGGGTGAACGTGTAAGAAAAACAGCAGGCTCCCACAGAGACAGAGGGTGTGGCAACGAGGCCCAGGGATCCGGCAGCAGGGGGTGGGTGTTGGGGGGTGGGTGTGTGTGAATTCAGAGGGTTTGGCCATGGCCCCTCCCTTGACAGTTGTGTGGATGGGGGACATGGCCAAATTGGGTGGGGTCACCGGTCCAAGTGATACCAAGACGCATCCCTCCTGGGTCTCCCCATGTGCACCCCAAGCTCCCTCCTGGAGGCCAGCCCTTCCCTGCCCCATGCCCCCTTGCCCCACGCCCCCTTGCCCCACACCCTGCCTCTAGGACATGGGAAGAAAAAGCCAGGCAGGGGGCCCCTCCACGGAGTGCTGACGTTGGATTGGGTAGTGGGGGGTGCACAGAGCTGTGGCAGGTCCTGAGGTCAGTGTGCAGCATGGGGTTGGGGGAGGCTCCACTCTGCACTGCCCTCCAGTCTACGGAGAAGGGAGATGCAGGGCTGTGGACCCGGGAGCCTGGTGGCCATACCACAGATGTTCACAGGGCGTCAGATGTGCCGTTTAGGGTCACAGAGTCCAGCAGCCTCCGTGAGCCCACATCCACGCTGCGGTACTCGCTGCCCACAGCACTGACACCCGCCCAGCCCCACACCAGAGGGCAAGGACCCCGGCCAGCAAGCCTGCAGCGGGAGGCAGGAGAGCTGCACCGGGAGCCCAGCGCACACACCCGGGCTGGCGTCGCCAAGTCCGAGCGGGTCCCCAAGTCTGAGCGGGTCCCCGCAAGCGTGCAGTGGCACGTGCAGTGGGTCTGTGAGCGCGGGGTTCCTGTGGCGGGTCCGGCAGCCGGCCCCGTGGAGCAGTGTCCAGGCGGTGCAGGCGTCCCAGCCCCGCCCTGGTCGTGCAGCGCCTTGTCCACCGTCCAGATGTAGCCGTGGATTAGAGCCCTCATCTCGGGGGTGAAGGGCTCAGGGTAGTGCGGGTGCTGGCCACACCGTCGGAAGCTGCCCTCTTTGTTGTTCTCCATGCACAGCAGACACTCCTCGCTCAGGGACACATTGAGGAAGGCCACCATCTCCCGCAGCATGTGCAGCTCCTCCTACTGCACCACCAGCAGCCGCTTGCAAACCACAGCCAGTCCAGCATGTGGTAGATGCACACGAAGTCTGGCCACTCTGCGGGGAGAGACGCGCAGGTCGGCCCCACCTCCTGGGTGCTAAGGGCGGGGAGCCAGGGAAGCGGGCGACCAGGGCAGGTGGCCCCTTGGACCAGGCCCTCCTGACGACCCGCAGGCAGTAAGAGCAGCACCTCGGGGCCAGCCTGGGTCACCAGGCCACGTCTGCCTCGGTGGCCGTGCAGCCACACACAAGGACAGATGTGGCATGTGTGGAGAGAGCTGGTTCCCTCTCTCATGGACAGTGAGTGCCCTGCCTGCGGGGCCCACGCCAGGACAGGGAGAGCCATGTGGCCCACGCGGCACAGCGGTGTTCTTCACAGGTGGGAGACGGGGTGACCCTGATCCACACTCACCTTGCCCTGGGTGACGGGGACAAGCAGGGGCCCCGGGAGAAAGCGCGCAAGCCTGAGCACCTGCCAGGGTCTTCCTGTGAAGCTAAGTGAACGATGTCCCTGCCTGATGCCCACCACATCCCGTGGGGGTGACCAGTCCATCCCATGACGCTGACGGGCAGCCCGCAATGTTTGGGGAGGATCTATCCATGAGAGCTTATCTTGGCAAATATAGACGTGCTGGGGCTTTTGTCTTGCTGGGGATGGTGTCAATATCAACAAATACAGCTTGTGACCATCCTGCCACCTTGGATGGCGTGGGGACCCTTCGCTTTCCCTGGTCTTCATGACCACGCTCAGACAGGGACTGCCTTGGTGTCTTGGGTGGGTAAACTGAGGCCCCTGGGAGCCAAGGAGGGACCAGAGCTCAGCCTCCTGCACCTGGGGTGCCAGCAAGGGGCAGGGTGGGCTGGAGGCGATGGGGGCATCTGCCGGGACAGGGTCTGTGGGGACGGGCCTGCTTGCCCAACGGCCCCACACTGCTGCCCTCTGACTGCTCAGTATCCCAACACTCGCCACCCGGACCCGTGTCCCAGCCACACTGCAAGGGGGCAGCGGCCGAGCCCGGGCAAGGCCAGGAACGGGTGTCTTTGCACAGGAGAAGAGCTGCCAGGCCTCCCCACCCCTCTTCTGCCCATCTTTGCTCTTCCAGTTTCGGTCAGCCATGTAGCCCAGGTGCCCGGTACACTTGCGGTTGAACTCGGCCACCAGGGACCTGTATGGGTTCCTGATCAGCAGGTTGGCCGAGTCGAACATCTCAATCTGCCTGTGACCCCTCTCGTGGGTCTTCTCGAAGATGGTGTGCCGGCTGCGTCAGTGGTCCTTCTCGCCTTTGAACCCTGCGGGGAAGACGGGGGGCCGCTGAGGATGGTGATGGACCCCGCCGTGGCAGCAGGCAGAGCTGAGCGTACCTCCAGGAGACCCCGCAAGTCTGGACCCTGCAAGCACGTGCGTGTGGGCGTCTGCAAGGCAATTTCCCTCGAGCGTCACCAACAACCCGTGAGGAAGTCGTGGCCGCAGGCGTGGTTCAGAGTGGGCAGGACACCTGCCAGGATTGCAGGGCAGCACAGGGCTCTGGGCATCTGGTGCAGGTGTCCCTGTGAGGCCGGGCTTCCAGCCCCCGCCCAGCAGTGGGCCCCGGGGTCCTGTGGCAGGGTCCCAGCCCTCCCCACCCGTAAACAGAGTCACACGTGGGTCAGCAAGACGCTGTGGGCTCGTTCAGTGGTGGCCTTTATGCTGGGGATGGAGGGGTTCCACGTGCAGTCACAGGGAGCACAGCGCCTCCCAGGAAATAGGAGTAGGGGGCCGATCAGGGTGTGCAGCCAGATGTCACAGAAGGACCCCTGGAGGGGTGCCCCAGAACCTAGACTCTAGCCATATCCCGACAGACCCGGGGTCCGCCAGCCGGGGACCCATGCTCCATAAATGAGCATGTGTGTCTTCTGGGCTCTTGGGGACAGCGACAAGCCCCAACACAACCTGCTTCGTGAGCGGGGGTGGGGGGACCGCAAAGGTGCAGCGGGCAGTGCCGGGTTCTTTGATGCTGGGAAACAAGGCTCCTCTGAGTCGGGTTTGCCTCCTGGAACCCAACCCAGTTCAAACAGATCTCTGCCCCAGGCCTAACAACTGTCAGCCTTTGCCGGGGCTCCTACTGCCCAGCACTGGGGACGAGGGAAAGAGGAGCCAGACCATGGGCTGTAAACACGGGATCAGGATTGGGATCGGGTCCCCAGCACCCCAAGACCTGCAGTGTCTTCTGTGTGTGGTAGGCTGTCCCCACAGCGGCCGCTCTGTGTGTCCCATGGGCCACAGTTGCCCAGGACAGACCGGGTGCCCATGCATGTCACTGGTGGGTCGGTGCAGAGGCCAGTGGCCACCCCGTGCCAGTCCCATAAGCCTCACAGGGGGAACCCCCAGGGCCATCACACGTGGCCACGCCAGCCACTGGGCCCCCAGGCCACTTGCAGACCAAAACCACCAGCTGTGCAGATGGCTATGGTCCTCTAGACAATCAGGTAGCCAGCAGCCTGTGCCACAGGACTCCACGGGCACCAGGCCACAGCAGGCAGGACCCCAGAACAGGTCATCCGGCCGCCCCCCTAGGGGTGCCGGTAACACTCAGGGCATAAGGACCAGCTTTCTCGGCTTCTCCCACCAGACCAGAGCCCCCCGCCAAGCTCAGGATGCTGTGGACCTGGGCTTCTCTTCCTAAACCATAGTCTGGTCAGGAATCTGGACGCAATGGAGGTGACACCTGATGGCAGACCGACAGCCCCTGGCTTGGCTGGGGTTCTCGGTCCTACTCAGCACACGGAGGCCTCTCGCTTCTGCAGGGAGAGACTAGGGGCCACACAACTCCGGAGGGTTTTGCACCCATCTTCAAAAACACAGCGTTTTGAGGAGCTACTTCTGGCCTCCCAGAAAATCAGACAAATGAGCCGGTGACATCTCACAGAATTACTGCGGGTTCTGCCAACGAAGGGAAATTCAGGAAGTGGTCATAGTGTGGGAGCGCAAGCCGCCAGGATGGATATCCTGAGTCCCGGGCCGGCCGCAGGGCTGGGAATGTGTTTGCAATGCTGGGGGCCGGCCCCGGGACTCCAGGCCCCGCGGCCCTCACTCACCCTTGTTGTACAGGGTCCCATCGAAGTAGTAACTCCCCGTGTAGAAGCCAGTGGCGTGCTCAATGAGGTGCCGTGCCCACGTGTTCCTGGCTCCCAGGAAACTCGACAGAGCCACAAACACCTTGGCCTTGGTGGGCAGGAACCGCCGGTCTGTACAGCGAGTGTCTGAAAGGCCAGAGGCTGACCACCGACCGCCCCACCCGGACCCACCGCCCCCAGTCTCCTGCTTCATCGATGGGGAAACCGAGGCAGGTTTGGGGTGGGGGGGGCCGCCCAGGCCTGTGCCCAGAGAGAGCTCCGGGGATGACGAGGCCTCCCACGGCCCGGGCAGTGAGCCCTGGCTTCCCACACAGCACAGAACATTCCAGATTCTGCTGGAGGGTGGTGGGGCCCCGCCTCGCGGCTCTCCTGCTGTTCCTCAAAGCACCTCTGTCCCCAGACTCAGGGAAAGGCCAGGTGTGCCCCGTGTCCAGCTTCCAGGGATGGTGGTGGCCTCCCCTCCCCACCCCAGGACGCATGCGGCCGCACTGGTCCCTCCAAACGCCCGGAGAGCACACACGGCAGATATGGCAGGGAAGGCCCCTCACACCTCATGCCCCAGCCGCCGAACTCTACCCTGCACGGGCATCTGGTAGACCTCGCAGTACTGGGCCAGCCTCTGTGCCTTGGGTTCCTGGCCACACAGCGCACTATCCACAGCATCCCCGAGGCTGAACTGAGGCATGGGGTAAGCACAATAGCACTCCCAGCCCCACAGGATGGCCAGGGGGAACTTCTGCTGGGGAGCGAGGGGGGAGAAGCATGTGGGGTGCCCACCGGGGCCAGGCCTCCTGGCTCCCGTCAACATGGACGGTGGCCATTCTTCCCATGCAAGCCCAGGGGAGGCTCGGTGCACGGGATGGAACTTTTGCCCCCAGCGGCTTAGAGTGGGTTGGGTACCTGACAACAGTCAGCGTGAGCCAGGCCCAGGGCTAACATTAGGGGGCCGGCGGGAGTGCAGGGAGGACCGGGCACCCAGGGCAGGGGCGTCTGCAGGAGCCAGTGCATGCGAGGGTCAGGATGGGACAGGTGAGCACACATACTGCATTGTGGACCCACCAGCCGTGAGTCCCAAAGGGACCTCTGGCATTCCCGCTGGGGCTCCCTGGGGAGGAGACCAGCCCAACCCAACTGCGGGGGAGAGGGGGTGCAGGCCAAGACATTCACGAAGTCCCTGCCGGCTCTGCCAGGATTAGTGGCAGGGCAGCACCTCACGGTGAGGCCAGGTCCTGGCCTCCCTGGCCTCTGTGGGGTTCATTCCCTGCTCCCTCTGCCCCCACAGAGGAGACCGCTGGGTGCTGTGCGACCTTGGGCAAGGTGCCGACCCTCTGTGCCCTTCACCACCAAACACGGGCAATCAAATTCACTTCACATGTCCCTTATGAGGGAGGCCCAGCGCAGGGCATGGCGCGTGTGGGTGCTCTCTGGGTACCCAGCCCCGTCATCCCTGCCTGCCCCTGCCTCTTACAAATGGAAATGCAGGGGGAGAGGTGGCAGGGAGGAAGGCAGGAGCCAGAAATAGCACCACACAGACCTTTTTATTTTTTCCTCACAGCAAAAATATCGTAAATAAATAAAGAAAAGAAAAATCACTAGCGTTTTCTGAGCGTGGCTTGGCAAAGTGAGGATCTCCGCACTCAGAAAGTCGCCGGGCCCATCCTAGTCATGGGGGGGGGCGATGCAGAGCTTGTGGGGGGGGTGCTCCTGTGCTCAGGCGTGTGCCCCCCAGTGCCCTGCACCCCCACCAGAGCCTCTCCCCACCTCCCTCCTCCTCCTGGACACCCATAGGCAGCTGCACCCCTGCCGAGAGGTCCCAGGGTCCTGGCCCCATCCCTCTGAGAGCTGAGCTGCCACATGGGGACACAAGCCTAGACCCTGCACTGTTCTGACACTGCACAACCCCTCCACACCCCCCTGTGCACCCCACCACGCACTCCTGTGTACCTGCACCATGCACCCCTGTATGTCTCTATCACGTACCCCCATGCACCCCCACCATGCACCCCTGCGCACCCCACCACGTACCCCTGCGCACCCCAACCATGCACCCCTGCGCACTCCACCACGTACCTGCACACCCCCACCATGCAACCCTGCGCACCCCCACCACACCCCTGCACACCCCCACCACGCACCCCTGCGTATCTCCATCACGTACCCCCATGCACCCCCACCACCCATGCCCATCACTGCTACAGCACCGAGCCCCCCCCCATGCGGTAAAAGCCCTAAAACAGCCCGGGGCCCCCATCCAGAATGCTAGTCTCTATAAAACAGACAAGTCCTTCGGCTGCTGGCTTGGAAGTGGGGGGGACCTGGCTTCCCTCCGACCTCCTCACCAGCTTGTCTTCTTCCCTGGGACCATAGCCCTGGTCCCCATGCTTTTTCTGGACAAGGCTTGACACAGGGATTTTCGGAGGATGGAGGATGGGGGAGGCAGTAGCTCAGGGTGTCTGGGCTTCCTGGGTGTAGGGACCAGGGAGGAAGCAGCAGGCGTGTAGCCTGTCAGATACCGACACAGACCCTGACACCTCTGAGCCTCAGTTTCCCTGTCTGTGAGCCCCTTCTCATCTCTCAGGACTCCACTGCCAGCGCCCCCTACCCTCCGTGCTTGGGGGACCTGAGGGTTTGACGCTCTGCCCGGAGGCTCCTCTCCAAGATCCCCATGCCCGGAAGGTCAGAAGTCCCACCCCCACTGCACCTGTCAGACCCGCCCATGGCCACAGCAGCCCAGCCCCCCTCAAGCCGCACCCTTGGGCACTGCAGCAGGGCCCTCCTTGGCATGTAGGGCTGGGACCTGGACCGGGCCATGAAGCAGCACCGGCGGAGCCCCAGCCGTCTCTCTGTACCGCGCAGTCTCTGTCCCAAGCCCATGTCTGACCCCCACCTCAGGATGCAGCTATATTCAGAGACGGGGTCTCTAAAGATGTAATTCAGTTAAAATAGGGCCATGGCGGGTGCAAGCCAATCCGATTAGTGTGGTCATAAAAAGAGTTTCGGACACAGACACACAGACGACCATATGAACACACAGGCACAAGACGCCCATCTGTGAGCCCACAAGGCCTGAGAAAAAACCAGCCCAGTGACACTCCACCTTGGGCTTCTGGTTTCCAGAGCCTCAAGAAGTATGAGCCCCCTGTCTGTGGCACTTTGTTCAGGCAGTTGTGGTGACCTTCTACACTGGGGTCCTTACGGCCCTTGGCCATGCACCACTGGCACACGCAGAGCTCAGGACCTTTGCACCTGCTGTTCTCTCTGCCTGGAACGTTCTGCCCCTAGACCTCCCCCACTTATTCAAGCCCCTTTCCCTGAGAGGCCTTCACTAGCCACCCCAGTTCACACCACCACACCCTTCCCACCCCCACAAGACCCCATCCCTTTGCTGAGACCTCTGGTTCTGCCCGTGGGAATCACTGGGTCCTGTTTCCTCCTGCAGTCAGCCAAGGCTCTGACTTGTACTCCGTGGTTGTCCAGCTACCCTAGAACATCCTGGAAACAGGATCCCTTGGTGTGGACTTTCCCTTCCCTCAGAAATCAGTGTGCTCACACTGGATCCCTGCGGAGGAACCTGCAGCTGTGGTCCACGTGCAGACACACCAGGGGGCATCCGTTTGCCCCACATGTCTTGGCTCTGTCTGCTGTGTCCTCAAGAGCATCGGCAGGATCGGGTCCTAGAAGGAAGTGTCCCTCTACCAGTGGTCACCCCTGGTGGGGGTCACACCCCATTAGCGACCCGAGCCCCTCCACTTCCTCGAGTGGATGAAACCATCAAGTTCCGGGCATGTGCAGAGCACGGGGTAGTGCGGACAGTAATGCGGTTTTATTTACAACAGAACAGAACTGGATTCTGAAAACACAGGACAATTTCCAGCCCCTTGGGGATTTCTAGGACATGATTTCCATAACAATTAAATATTGATGAAACTTTCTCTGCCAGATTCCCTGCTCCCCCCACCCCCACCATCTTCTCAACATTTGGAGAAGGGGAGGCAGGACGGGGACACAGCTGTGGGACCATTTCCATCAGAGGGGCATAGGGGGACAGGGCGGGGGGACAGGTATCCACCCGGAACTGCGTCCAGAGGCTGGGCCTGGTGGCTGCTATATGCACAGTGATTCAGTTTGGTGCTGGGTCATGGCAGCAGCGGCTGGGCCTTCCCGTCCCGGGAACCCCCCTGCAAAGGCACGGTCGTGGCCACAGGTCAGGTTGTGGACGTCCCAGCAGGCCTGTCTATCTCTGTCCTCCTTGAGTGCCTTTCTTGTGGTCGGTACCCAGAATTATAGAGAATCACAAAAACGTCAGAGATGAGAACTTTGGGCTTCAGGAGGGCAAACTGAGGCGAGGAGGCAGGTGCCGAGAAGCCCAAGACTTCAAATCGTGAGACCAATCGGGGGCAGAAGCAGCCCGGGGCTCTGCCCAAGACCACACTCAACTCCATGGACACACTCTTGAAAATAGGGGGTTTTTGGTGGTATCTGCAAACCAGCACGGAGCTTGCCTTCACCAATCTCCTGCCTCCCTTCACTCCAAGGCTGCTCTGGACATGCACACCCAGAAGGAAAGAAGGTGCCTGGGGGTGGTGGCTGCTGGGATGGGCGTGGAGGGCAGGCATCACGGTCAACCACAGCCGGTCCGCAGAGCCCATCACTGAGCTCGTGTCTTCTGCCGACAGGACGCCCCTGCCGTCGGGCTGCAAAGTAGGAGTTGTGTGGTCGAGGAGGCAGCCCCAGAGCCAGGACCAGCTCACGCTCCCCTCTGCCATGGAAACCCACAGCTTCGAATGGTATCGTTGACAATCAGTGAGAATGCCACGGTTCAGGGCCACGAGAATGGCCAGGACCACAAGGCAAGGACGTGTCTGCACAGGGACACACACCCAGATCACAGACTCTGAAGCCACCTTCCACTGTCTTTGGAATGAGGCCCCGTGACTCGCTTGTGGAAACACACCTGAAGTCTCACAAGTGACACAGGAGACACGCGAGTCCCTCACACCAGTGATTCCACATGTGATGACGTGAGGAGAGCATTATGAGCCCCTTGAAAGCTTGACCTTCAGGAATGTTCATGGCAGCATGGCTTGTAACTGCGAAGAAAGAGCCCAGAGTGGGCAGGAGGGGGGTCTCATGCCACAAGGGACACGTGGAACAAAGGAAAACGGAAGGAGAGATTCCTTTTTTTTTTTTCTTTAAGCAGCCTCCATGCCCAGCACAGAGCCCGAGGCAGGACTCGATCTCACGACCCTGAGACCATGAGCTGAGCTGAGCTAAGAGTCGGACGCTCAACCAGCTGAGCCACCCACATGCCCCGAATGATTCAACGTTAAAGATTCGAATTCTGGCAACATACCCTTCGAACAAAAGACCTAAAGATGTTAAATGCCATTGGTGGTTTTCTCTGATGCGGTAACGTCACTGGTGAGTTCTAATTTAATTTCACGTTTTCCAAATTTTCTAAAATATATATGTGTTACCTTTATAGACATCCACCCCCAGAACACAATAAATTTTCTCTGAAGACACACACGGTGTAATGTCGACAGGTTTATGGCCAAAATCGTGAGAGAACCCCAAGGCTGTGCTAGGTCGTCACCAGCAGACAGGACCGGCGAACATTTTAGCAAAGGGAAAAACCTCCCAAGGTCCAGATGGTTAATTCACAAAACCCAGACACTCACTGCCCCACCGCTGGCCGGCTGCAGAGGCAGCGCCCCTGCCCATCCCGGGACAGCCTGCACCTGCCGGGACCCAGGTGGGTCCGGCAGAGCAGCCATGGTGCAGGGAGCGAGCCGGGTCAGCACCACGGGAAAGCCTGAGAAGACCCGCCCGAGTCATCAGTCATCTATAGGAAGAGCTCACACTTGTCTCCCTTCATTCTCACCCTCCGACAGACCAGGAGCAGGAGCAGGTGCAGGGAGAGGGGACCTCCAGCCGCATGCAGGATCCCTGTGGAAGCGTCAGGGGCCGGCAGCTCATCTGCCCACGGTGCTGGAGCCCTTTGCCGGCCCCATGTCTGCCATCCCAGGTCCAGGCATGGAGACAGGGCAGGTCTGTCCCTATGGCCGCAGAATATCAGACCAGATGGCTTCTCTGTGCTCAGACACACATGACATCGGCTGAGCCCCGCACCGGTGGTCAGACGGTCATGGCACTGATGGTGCCCTGTGTGTCCTTCTGTCCGGCCACATCATGACGTTCCTGAACCATTGGGACCAACCCACAAACCATGGTGGAGACGTCACCTCTGGGGCCACAAACACCCCCGATGGCACGCGACCCAGACCAGTCCTCAAGAAGCCCAGCCCGACCCCAGCCTTGGCTCCGCGGTGGGGGTCCATGAAGTCACTGTGGCCTTGCTCACCAAAGCAGAACACTGAAAACCACAGAGGTGCTCCACAGCGGGGGAGGGGTCACGTAAACACCAGGATGTCTGCGCAAGGGAGCCCAAGTTGGGGAAAGTGCTGCCAGTGCCAGGACAGAGCGGTCCCTGAGCCCGACCCACCGGGCGAGGAACAGGAGCTGCCCGTCCCCTCCCCAGATGCCGCTCAGCAGGAACCGCGGCACCATCTGGACAGGACTGGTGCCTGCTTCCACGGCCACGACCCCCTCTGGCTCAGGCAGCATGTGGGGGGCAGCGTGTCCCCCTCGGAGCACCAGGAGGGTAAAGTGGGTCAGCCGGCACGTGGGGCACCTCCAGGTTTGCAGATGGAGCCACCAGGTCTGGTGCAGGTGAGCTCCTTGGACTGGCGATGGCAGTGGGCACTCCCAGGGCTGCGGTGTGCAGGTGTGCAGAAGACCTGGGAGGGCCGCGTGTAGCAGGTGCACACAGCCTTCCACTCACAGCTCTGCTCCCACATGCGGAGCATGGGAATGCGGGCCTCAGCCGGATGCTGTGAGCCCCCAAGGACACCCCAGATACCCCGAAATGCTAGAGCCACAAAGACCCACTCCAAAGGCTGCTGCTTGGGCTGGAAAGTGCAGGAAAGGCTCTGTCTCGGCCCAGTAGGCGCATCTCAAGAGGCACCAGGTAGGGCAGGCTCCCCGGCATCCCCAGAAGCCCACTTCCTGTAGCTCTGAGGCACCAGTGGGGTCAGAACCAGGGGGCCTGCCTGGGTCCAAATCCCAGCTCCCCCATGTAGGGGATGGGTGACCTTGGACAGCATTTGTGACCTTCTCCGCTTCCGTTTCCTCAGCTACAATCACAGCATGTCCCAGCACCCGCCAGACATGGCCATTAGGAGGGCAGAGTGACTTCCTACGTGGCGAGGGGTGTGGCTGCCGCTGGATGAACGAGGACATATGCGCCACCATCACCAGGACGCTCCCGTCCTAGACCCATCCTCTTACCTGGCCTCCGGTCACAGTCCCCAGCACATGGGAGCAGCCCTGACCTCCGCCTACTGCCATGCCCCGGGGCCCACATGTGGGCCACTGGACTGCACCCCAGACCTCAGCACTCTGGGGGTCCCGTTGCTTACCAGCTCCACCTGGCCTTGACCACCGTGTCCCACCTAGAGCTCCCTCACGAGACCGGGACAGAGACCTCTGCACCCCGCCCGCCCTCTGCAGAATCATCTCCGAGCCCCGGCTGAGACAAAGGCACACGTGTGACCACGGCCCTGACGCCAGGTTCAGTGCCCATCCCTGTCCATCGGCACAACTGATAAGCCGTCCACTCTCCCCAAGCCTGAGCCAGCACGTCCCACTAACAAACCCAGTCAGTATGACACCTGCCATCGGGAAAGGCACAATCCTTCCAGCCTCGCGGCCCAGCAGACAGCATCCCGGCCAGCCTGGGGTGCCCACGCAAGCACAGACCACACGGCCATCCCAAACCTGCATCTGACCTGGGCTCCTGCCCCATGCAGCGCACGGCACACGCGCACACATCACAGGTGCCCTTACCTTCTGGGAACAAAACCCCGAGCACACGTCCACCATCGTGTTGGCCTGCTCCAGGGAGTCTGGGAAGGTGTGGGTGCCATTCTCCGGCAGTCGGAAGGATCCACTGTACGTGATAGTCCTCCCTGTGGGGACAGAATGGGTCTCTGGTGAGACACGGTGCCCCTGGCTGTTGGTGCCTGTTGGGGGAAAACGGTGGGTTCAAGATCTGGAAAGTGGCAAATAGGATCAGTGGGGGTTTCAAGCCAGACAGCAGACCGCTCTGGACAGCGTGTGGTGGGCCAGGCTCCTGAGACCCTGGGCACCCGAATCTCTCCACCACGGTCACCGACAAGGGACCACGTGGCTGCAGATGCTGACCTCAGGCCACTTCTCCTACCAGCTCTGCGGGATGGTTTCTGCCCCCTCTCTGTCCCTCCTTCCTTCTGCCACCAGCTCTGCAGGATGGTGTCTGTCCCCCCTCCATTCCTCCTTCCTTCTGCTAGCTCCCTGGGAATGGTATCCATCACCCCCCTTCCTTCTCCCACCAGCTCCTGGGAAATAGTGTCTGTCCCCCCTCTGTCCCTCCTTCTTTCTCCTACCAGCTCCTGGGAGATGGTGTCCATCCCCACCCCCATCCATCCTTCCTTCTCTCACTAGCTCTGCAGGATCCTGTCTGTCACCCCACCACCCCCCGTCCCTCCTTCCTTCTCCTGCCAGCTCCCTGGGGATGGTGTCCATCCCTCCTTCCTCCTCTTACCAGCTCTGGGGGACAGTGTCTATCCCCCTTTGATCCCTCCTTCCTTCTCCTGCCAGCTCCTGGGGGATGGTGTTCATCCTCGCCCCATCCCTCCTTCCTTCCACAGATCTGCACTAGGCCACCCAAGCGGCTGATATTCTGGAAAATTTTACGTCCCTGCCGTGCAGGTATGAGGAGAAAAGTAGATCCAGAAATGTGAAATGCCGCTGCCGCCCCTCACTGTGCTGTGGGGTCAGACCCGAACTCCCACCAGCCCCAGGAAGGCTCCCCAAGCCCACAAGCTGTCCTCCAGCCCAAGTGGAGTAGTACAGCCCCGAGTGGGGTCCTGGCTGCTGGGCCTTCTGGAGTGTTCCAGCTCGACAGGTTGCACTCTGGTCACAGTCTTCAGGGCTGCTTAGGCGGGAGCCTTGCTGTCGTGCCCGCTTTGCCCGCCCACCTCAATAGCACGGGGACCCTGTCACCAGCCAGTGCCCCAGGTGGCATCTCCATGCACAACCGTAGAGCAGGACCAGGCCTGGAGTCTGGGAGCCTGTCAGGTGGGCCAGCACTCTGCAGTCCCGGTGCCAGTGGGCCGAGGGCAACCCTGGGAGGCCACGCTAAGCACCTCCCACCTTCCCGCTAGGGGCCCCAGTCTCCATTAGCAGGTGCGCGGCCCCTCACCCTCTCCCGGCCTTTATGTACTGCATAAAGCTATGTAGATATGTACCAATGTACGTCCTCATACACACACACACACACAGAGTTGGGTTTCTTTGTTCCTGTTTTTATTTTTGTTTTTCATTACCTTGAACAACTCTGTAAAAGTTATCTTTAGAGGAACCTGGTTGGCTCAGTTGGTTAAGCAGCTGCCTTGGGCTCAGGTCATGATCCCAGGGCCCTGGGATCAAGCCCCACATTGGGCTCCCGGCTAAGCAGAGATCCTGCTTCTCCCTCTCCCTCTGCCTGTGTCTCTGCATACTTGTGCACTCTCTCTCTCTCTGTCAAATAAATAAATAAAAATAAAGTCCTTTTTTAAAGTTATCTTTATTTATAAGTTCTTACAAACTGGTACATTTGGTTCTACACAATAGCTTTCTAGGAAAGGAATAGGTTTTTTTCTTAGTAGATATTGTCATATTCTCATTTTACAGATTAATAATACTGAGGCTTTTTAGAACAGAAGGCTGAACTCGGTTAATTCACATTACATTTCAGCCAGCAATCTAAGCCTACCCTTTCACCTCATGTCCATACCAACATGAAATCTGGAGCATTTAAACTTTCTCTCGGGTTAAATCAGTATATTGATTTCTATTTCCCTAGTAACTAGTCAATTTCCTTTTTCCCAAGGGTGTTAGTCATTTGGATTTGCACTTGGTACATTGTATATTCACATCTTTGCCCATTTTTAGACTCTGTGTTTGTCTTTTTTCCTGACAATTTGTAAGAACTTTTTGTGTATTACTTAAATGGACTCATGGCCTGCTATTTGCATTTTCATTTTTTCCAGATACATCACATCTATCTTGCTTAGTATATCTTTTTTTTTTATACAGATGGTTTAAATTTCATTTAATAAATGCTGAGTTTCTAGATACTCTAGGTGTCTAGCTTTGCACATGAACTATCTAGATTTTCTTATTATTGCCAGAAAACAATCATTTTTTTAATTCAATTCAATCAGTGTTTTAATTCAACTGGTGTTAATTTTTGTAAATAGTGTAAGACTGACAGGATCCCTTTTTAATTCCTCCTAGATCAATGCATTTTGTTTCAGTACTGAATATGAATATGAAATGTGCTAGTCTTTTCTTGTTGAATGCCTCTACCACAATTGTTGTGTTAACTTTATTATTTTGACAAGGTATTCAGAGTCTGATGTTTATCAGACTGAGCTACCCAAGTGCCCCTCAATTCCTTTATTCATAACAACTGATTCTCTTTCTCTATTAACTTGTTTGGTCAAAAGTGAGAAAGACCAAGAAATATGTAGAAAGTCTGTGATCTGTCTTCATCATCCCTTCCATGCATTTCTGCCTTTTCATGTCCATTTCTCCTCTTTGCTTCCCAAGAACCTTCTTTCTACTTCTTCCCACCCTCCATTGGTATCACTCCAGCCGCCTGTCAAGCCCACCTTACTTTATTCCTCTCGAATTAGTCATGTCCTAATACCTTTCTATATGTTTTCCTATCATGAGATAGGTTGATATGTAGTTTTGTACTCCGTTATACTTTTTACAGTGATCCCCAAAAGTACTTATTATCATTCTTGTCAATGTTACTGAAGAGGCTATACGACCTGTCCAAGAACCAAAAAATGCCAAAAAGTGGCAAAGGCTATATTCAAACACAGACATTCTGATCATAAATGTCATGTGTTTTTTGCTGTCCTTTATTTGTAAATGACTGTTTTGTTTGATTGACTAATCTGAGTTAGGGTGACAGTGATTAAGAATCAGTGGATAATTTTCCAAAGTTTATCATGTCAAATGCTTTTTTTCTACATCAGTTGAGAGGACCATGTGGTTCTTCTCTCATTGATTTGTTCTATCACATTTATTGATTTGCAAATGTTGAACCACCCTTGCAACCCATGAATAAATCCCACCTGGTCACAGTGGATAATCTTTTTAATGTACTGTTGGATCCTCTTAGCGAAGATCTTGTTGAGAATCTTGGCATCCATGTTCATCAGGGATATTGGTCTGAAATCCTCCTTTTTGGTCGGGTCTTTGCCTGGTTTGGGGATCAAGGTAATACTGGCTTCATAAGAAAATCTGGAAGTTTTCCTTCTGCTTCACATTTTTGAAACAGCTTCAGGAGAATGGGTATTATTTCTTCTTTGAAAGTTTGTTAGGATTCCCCAGGGAACCTGTCAGGTCCAGGGCTCTTGTTTTTTGGAAGGTTTTTGATCACTCCTTCAGTCTTGTTACTAGTATTGGTCTATTCAGGTTGTCCATTTCTTCCTGATTTAGTTTTGGAAGTTTATAGGTTTCCAGGAATGCATCCATTTCATCTAGGTTGCTTAACTTATCAGCCTATAACTGTTGATAATAATTTCTGATGATTGTTTCTATTTCCTTGGTGTTAGTCGTGATCTCTCCCTTTTCATTTATAATTTTATTAATTTGGGTCTTCTCTCTTTTCTTTTGGATTAGTTTGGCCAATGGTTTATCGATCTTACTGATTCTTTCAAAAAACCATATTCTAGTTTCGTTGATGCGTTCTTCTGTATCTCTAGTTTGTATCTCATTGATCTCTGCTCTAATCTTATTTCCCATCTTGTATGTGGGGTTGGCTTAATTTGTTGTTGATGCTCCAGTTCTTTAAGGTGCAAAGTTTAACTGATTTCACTCACCATTTAATAGATTTATTTGGTCACAGAAATGAGTCTGTGTATGTGTGTGTGTATGTACATGTGTAAAGCAATTACTTTACATCTCAGGTAATATATTTTTTTTCTTCAGGATATAGTTTTAAGTTATTACCTCTACCAAAAAAATCATATTTCAAAATGAGGCAAATAGGTTTAAATGTGGAAATATTTCACATGCCATAGGAGAGTGACTAAGAAACCAGAGTAAAGACTAGAAGTTGGAATTATTATTTATAGGAATATAATGAATAATAAATATCTATCATTTACCAGGGCCACCTAGGGTACTCAGAATGTCACTGGACATCTCAGATGTACCCTTACTTTACAATTCTAAATACTCAAATATTAGATACTACATTGATTTTGCATAGAATAGCATGCATTCTTTATGGCAAGGCATCATGAACATGTGCATTTGTATTAGAATCTCCATATATAGCAAATAAAAATACGGAGTACAGAGTTATATATACTTCTCAGATAAAGGACAAATGTTATTTTTAGTATAAGCATGTGCCATGCAATACTTGGGATTCATGTATACTAACAATTATCCATTTTTATCTGAATTCAAATTTAACTAGGTATCATGTACTTTCTCTGGCAACTATTTTTATATATCTAACACTATACTCAAATCAGTGTTCATATTGATGTTCAAGACAACAACAGCTGCTAACAGCTACATAGGATCATCACATTGCATTAACCTTTTTTTTTATGTTGCAATAGAACCCATATCACATAAAGTTTACTGTCTTAACCATTTTAGGTATGCAGTTCAGTAGTGTTAAGTGCATTTGCATTGTGCCACGAATCTCCAGAGCTCTTTCCATCTTGCAAAACAGAAGTTCTATACCCATGGAAGAACCTGTCATTTCCCCCTCACTGCGGCCCATCAATCAGCATTCTACTTTCTGTCTTTTTGAATTTAACTACTCTAGGAACCTCTTATAAGTAGAATCGTGAAGTATTGGGGTTGTGTTTTTGTTTTTGTTTTTGTTTTTGTTTTCTGGTGACTGTCTTATTTCACTAAGCATAGTGTCTTTAAGGTTTACACAGGTAGCAGATGTCAGAACTTCCTACCTTTTTAAAGGCTGAATAGTATTCTACTTTTAGTTCTCTATTCACCTGTAAATAGATATTTGGATTGCTTTTACCTCTTTTGGTTATTATAAATAATGCTTCAGAGTTGCTGTCTTGGTCCCTTCAAGCTACAGTAACAAAAATCCACTGACTGGGTAGCTTATAAACAGCAGAAATGCATTTCTCACAGTTTTGGAGGCATGATTGGGTGAGGGCTCTCTTACAAGATGCAGACTTCTCACTGTGTCTTTCCATGGTAGAAGGGGCTGGGGAGCTCTGTGGGATCTTTCTTATAAAAGCACTAATCCTGTTCATGAATATTCTACCCTCAACCTATTTACCTGCCAAAGGCCTCACTTCTTAACACCACCACAATGGGCATTAAAATTCTAACATTTAAATATTGGGAGATCATAATAATTTAGACCATAGGTTTGATTTCTCCTCAGGTTCTTCTTATCCTGTAAATGGCCTTTTTCTCCCTGTATTGTCTGTCTTCTAGGTAAATCTGTATCCTAACTTTCTTTTCTTATTAAAACACCAGTCATATTATGTTAGGGCCAAACTCATTTAAATTTAATAATCTCTTTAAAGACTGTATCCAATGCAATCACTTTCTGAGCTACTAGGAGTTAGGAATTTGGAGGGATATAATTCTGTTTGTAATAGGTATAAAACCAAAAGTGAAATTCCTAGATCATATGGAAATTTTGTTTTTATTTTTTGAGGAAACTCCATACTGGTTTTCATAGTAACTACACCTTTTTTATATAACAATAGTGCATAAAGATTCTCTTTTCTCCACATCTCTCACAACACTTATTTCTTTTTTGATAGTAGCCATCACAGTGGGTGTGAAGTGCTATCTCATTGTGGTTTTGACTTGCATTTTCCTAATGTTGAACATCTTTTCATGAACTTATAGGACATTTCTGTATCTTTTTGCAAAAATGTCTATTTGAGTCCTTTGCCCATTTTTTTGTTTTTATTTTACTTATTTATTGTTTAAAGATTTAATTTATTTATTTGTGAGAAAGAAAATGAG